ATAATAATAATAATAATAATAATAATAATAATAATAATAATGGTAGGAAACCCCCAAGAGAAGCCCAGGGAAACCACCCAGACCCCCAGAAAGGAAAGCTGGAAGGAAGCCTTTCCAAGTTTTGCTGAGAGAAACTAGATTCTGGGTGCAAACCTTTTTCTGTACAACCAGACCTCAGTATCCACGGATTTCTTATCCATGGATTCAACCATTCATGGTCTGAAACTATTTTAAAATATATATAAATTCCCATAAACAAACCTTGATTTTGCAACTTTATGTAAGGGACATCATTTTACTACCTCGCTGTATTTAATGGGACTTAAGCATCCACGGATTTTGGTATCCACGGGGGGTCCTGGACCCAGGATCCAGCAGATACCAACGGACCATTGTATTTGAATAGAAAGTGTAGAGACAAATTGTACAGATAAAGATGCAACAGGGGCTGCAGCCTTCCTTGTTGCTGAGACTGCAATTTAAAAATCCCGCTCTCGCCGTCCTATAACAATAGGGTGAGAGCAGCCTCTTTCCTGGCTGATGTTCTGCTCCGTCCTAATAATAATAATAATAATTAAAAAGAAAGACTCACGTACAGAGCGGAGCTTTCTAATTCCCGACTATTCCCGGCACCAAAAGAAGATTTGAGCCGGCGTGACCTTCTGCTAAGCTCCAGCAGGCTCCGGACGGCCTGGGAACCATTTGAGGTCTGACCCCCAACCCTCTCCATGTCAATACCTGCCATGGGAAGGTGTCTGATGCCACCATGAGTCTGTCCAGAAGGCAGCCCCAGAGGTCCCTCGTTCGCTGGCATCAGCTCAATGGAAATGCAGAGCAAGACCGGAAAGAGCAAAAGCGGCACGTGGGGTTAAGAAAACCTTCTCCTTCTGTTTTCCTCCACCTTGTTATGTGCTGGGCAACAGTCATCCCTGCCCTGAGGACACTTGCTGGTGTAACTGGTTCCATTCTGCAACACCCATTTGGCCCCGGGTTGGAGAGCAGAAGGTCACACACATCCTGGCCGCAGAGGCTGCTAAAAAGCCTTCTTAGGTAGGTATGCTCCAAGAGACTCCACGCTCTCCATCTTGAAGCATATTTCAGCAGCAGAGGTCTCCGTTTCCGCTACTACTATGCACCACCAGCATGCAAGAGACTGCGGACCAAGAGGGATAGTGGGCTCTCGTGTTCCTTTCTTCGCTCAAGACTGGTGCAGACTGACAGCAAATGGAGAGGACAGCGTTTATCTTTCTGTCTCTGCATGACTTCGAAATACTTTTCCAGTCATAAAAGCATAAGAGAGGGTGGTAAAAACGTCCCTTTTGCCAAATGGATTTTTTTCCAGCTTGGCAAAAGGGACGCTTTGACAACCCTCTTCCGCAACTGGAAGAGGACGCTTCGATGTCATGCGCAGACCGAAGAGGACGAAAGCGCTTGGACATCATGCAGAGACAGAAAGATAAGTGTGCTTCAAATTCAGTCTTGATTGAAACCAGATAGCCACCCTGCCCAATTTCAGCTAGACTCCTCTGCATTGCCAGGCAACTCACTTCCAGGTCGTGATCTGGGCACGATCCATTTGACAGCCTTCCCACCGATGGAGGCTCGGATATGGAGATACGGTCCACCAGGCAGACTGGGCCTGAGCCAACTTAATGCACAAAAGGAAATAATAATAATAATAATAATAATAATAATAATAATAATTTTTATTTATAGCCCGCCCCTCTGCACAACAATCGAGGCGGGTTCCAGCATTTAAAACAGACAAAATTAAAACATTCCCTCATCCCCCAATCCAACCCTCCCAACCCCTTAAAACAGGATTAAACTAGAAAAGGATTAAAATGCTATAATGCAGTAAAACAATTAATCAATAAAAATCCGATCATCAGTACAAGAGTGACTCAGAGACCGACAATCCACAATGGCTACACTTCCCCATCAATTTCTTTGTAGTGTTTTCTTAGGAAAGGAGTACTCAGAGGTGGTTTTGCCAGTTCCTTCCTCTGAAATACAGCCTGCGGCAGCTGGAGTTCATCGGCGGACTCCCATCTAAGGACTAACCATGGTTGACCCTGCTTAGTTTCCTAGATCAGACAGGGTCTGTTGTCTTCAGGGTTTTTACACTTTCTCGTTGTCACCTATCTTGAAGTCATTTCCAACTTATGGCGAGCCTAAGGTGAATCTATCACAGGGTTTACTTGGCAAGTTTCTTCAGAGGAGGTTTGCCATTGCTGTCCTCTGAGGCTGAGAGAGTGTGATTTGCCCAGGGTCACCCAGTGGGTTTCATGGCTGAGCGGGGATTCGAACCCTGTTCTCCAGAGTCGCAGTCCAACACTCAAACTACGACTCCGCACTGGCTCTCTTAACTTGTGTGCCTTCAAATCACCTGTCAATTTATGGCGATCCCATGACTTTTGTAGGGTTTTCTTAGGCAAAGGATCCTCGGAGGTGGTTTTCCCAGTTCCTTCCTCTAAAACCGAGCCTCCAGCAGGTCTCCCATCCAAGGAGTAACCAGGACTGACCCTGCTTAGCTTCCAAGATCAGACAAGATCTGGTGCCTTTAGGGCAGTTACACCTTAAGTCAACACCCTATTCACCTAAAATCTATTTAAACCAACGTCAGGTTCAGCAAGAAATACAAGCTCAACAATCATTCATCCAGTATCAATGTTTGTTTATGATGAAATGAATCGTTCCATGAGGAGATTCCCTAGACTTCAGTCTACTTCCTCAGGTGCATTAATATATACAAATATATTCATATACACACACACACACTATTTACGTTTATATCCCACTTCCCCCAAACCTGGGGCTAACAAAGCAACTCAGGCT